GTTTGGAAGAGCTGGAGGTGATAAAGAGAATCTTTACATTGGAGTGGATAAGACTACCTTTGTGCGGTTCATATTGAAGGTCCTATGAGCCAACACAAGTAATCGTTGGTTGAGGGAGCAGACGCCAAGCAGACGAGGGAGTATGGGGACAAGCGAGGTGCAGACATCTATGAAGATCTTCACCCCGACGCAGAGCCATGGGTGGAGACACAGCAGCAACATTGGGCCTTAGTGCTTCTGTTACACGAGTTCGTGCTCTAAAATTGGTACAGCCACTGTGCTTGCGTGCTACTCATCTCCTTCTCCTTTCTTATATAGAAACCCTTTTTAGTACAACAAAAATGGCTTCGAAAACGGCTCCTCATGTTGTTTCCAAATCCAATTTTTTTCAGAATTTTACTATTTTTGTTACCATAAATATTACTGTGCCTTTTTCTAGGATCTTGTCAAGCTGTAACGAATTTTGACGGCGTACTACATGCAGCAATCACTCACGGAGTCGCCATCTTTATACTTGTGTCATGTTTTGCTCACATTAGGTATGTGAAGGGTCTTGTATGTGCACAGAGTGTCGTGCCCCGTGGACGGGGTCGAGCAGATGCATCGGTGGTCTGTCCACGGGACCCGGCAAAACGTGGGATTCCAGTGGGTGCCCACAACACCTCGGAAGGGAATGCGTGCGCGGCGAATGCTCTGAATTCCGTGCCTGCTGCGGGCTCAATCACAGGGCCTATTCCCTGACCCCAACAAGTACGTTGTGTGCTTGCGCGTGCGTAAATCCCTGATGTTGCTGGGTATGCGATAAGACGTCTGATGTTCGACAAGACAATAAGCGATGCGTGCGAGAAGCGTGGCGCGATATGTGAACGTAAGCCGTATGTTTAAATATGTGCGAAACGAGTACTTACTGAGCTTCATGTATACTGGCATAAATATGAGACATGACTACAATATGATATACCTATTCTATAACTATTAAAACAGAGATGGTGACTACTAAAAGATACATGCTACAAAAGACTAAAACTACGGTTGAACTAAATATGCTACATATAAAGAGTGAACTCCCGATTGTTACCTAATACTACGATTGTAAGGAAACTACGATTAGAGAACAATGGGGGAAACCCTGGGTTACCATATTGTTACTATAAAGTTTAGTAAGTACTAATTATATATCTAAAGCAAGTAGAGGATAATATGGGCCAATGTGGGGTCCGCCCTAAGCTAACGATGTAATGAAAGCTAGAACGAACCGACCTTCTGAGGGCCGAAGCGAGACGAAACGAAGCGAGGCGACCGCTCAGCACGATTGCATCATGCCGACTGCTATAACGGTTTCGCCGGGCGATTTGAAGGCGGCAAACAGCCAAGGGTCTGTGCCTATCACAGTCGACGCGGCCTCAGTGGACTACGTGCGCGTCCATGCGGCGATCCTCTCGAGCCATGCGCTTGGAGCATCTTTGCTCGAGGTTGTGCGTAAGTCACGACGCAGCGAGCACGATCAATGCAGAGAGATAATGCAGAGATCACTTTGTGGAGAGCCGCTAGGAGGGGCTCACACAGCACCCCTTTTTTACCGAGGTGTGCTGTGGAATCGGTGACAAGGCTATCGTTGAGGAAACGGTCCGGAGAAAGAGAAGATAAGTATGTGCTTTTTCAAGGAGAAGACAGATTTGAAACCAAGTCGCTACGCGATTGTGCAGTTTGAGTTCAACAATTTCGCTCGGAAAATCGACACGTGGCGGTAAAGGACGAATTCACGATGAAAAAGCAACCCATTTCAAATTAACCTAGAGATGGTGAGTGGTACACGAAAGAAGGAAGAACCATGAGAAACGGCCCAGAACCCGAGAAATGGTACCCCTTCCTTGCCCGTTGATTCGAGCATTGATGCGACTCTCATCGCTGTGCCCTCTTCAACACTACGCTCTCTCAGCTATCTAATCACTCGCCACGTATTGAACTACGGCGAGTGATCAGATGATCGGTGGGCGGAGATCGCCGGACCCGCCAGCTTTGAGGCATGATAGGTCGCCGAGGTCAAATTTTTCCATGCGAATTGCGCGTCAGTTCGCACCCTCAGGAGGTCCGTGGGTCCCTCAACTAGGTCAGTTTCCCTTTCTTCGACCTTCATTCTAATCGTGAATTCCTCCTTTAAGCTGGCTCCGAATCGTTTCCCTTTAAACACCATGCTCCGTTCTACCCAGTGCTTTTCGTCCCATTCTAAATCAGTTCTCTGGAAGTAGGAATCTCAGAATCTATCACTAGCTGGAATGTACATCAATAATATTCCATACCCAATGCGTATGGACCTCCGTTTATACTTTCGGTGCGGAATACGCCCTCCACAGCTCTCTTTTGATATTTCCCATTACAGTGCGTTATTGCAGGGTATCGAATTCAACCTAAGGCGAAAACTGCAACTCTGAGCAAAGTTTCTCGAAATAACTATTTAATTTTGACACCTTCAGTGGAGGCCACGTAAATCCAGCTGTCACTGTGGGAATAGCCGCAGCCGGTAAGATTCCACCGCTGGAAGCTGTGTTCTACATCATCTCGCAATTGGTTGGAGGTGTTATTGGAGCTCTGCTGACCAGGGTGAGTGCAGTCTGTGACAGCCATTTCTCTGAGTTTGTTGACTTAATATAATCGAGGTACTAAAATGAAATGAATTTTATTTCAAGCTTGTACTTAAAGGTGACCAAATACCCGTGGCCAAATACAGAAGGGCAACCTTTGCTCGCTCCCACACCATATGGTCATGTATGTCATGGCAACGTGCCTGCACAACACTAGGATTCTTTACTTGGCCTCATCACTTATAATGATCCCCGCTGAGCTGTCATACCGAGTGGTGTGGCTAAGTATGGGGGAACCCGAAACATTGCTGAAAAGACCTCGATGACAGCTGTCCGTTCTGAGCCGCTTGTCTACATCTACTCATCTGAGAATCGGCACACATGACCCCGCTACTCCCAATTTAGATCGCACCTGTGTCCTGTGCTTTTTTCAGCGATTATAATTACGGTGAACTCAGAGATATTGTTACGACGGTCAGCGACAGTGAGTGTTCGATACGGACATCGCACGCCAATCACCGCACGAATTAGCCATGGCAGCGGGGAGACTCTGCATGCTGCTTCAATACGCTCCGTACACCCCACCCACACCGTCGCCAAGTACTGCTGCTGAAAAAACCAAGCCATAATGGTTTCTAGACTGGACCTAAGCACTGCTCCAACGATATCTGCTTTCAGTGTCCTCACTTTTTCAGGGCCTTATTGCTGAAATATTGACTACATATTTTCTGGTGCAGACAGTACTGTTGACAGCCGTTGACTCAACGACCATGCTTGCACCACTTGCGATTGGTTTTACGGTTCTTATGGATATTATGGCCGTGTAAGTCCCAATAAATAAGAATTACATTCATTATGAACAACTAGCCACCATAACTATCATTTAACTATTAGTTATCAATTAACATTTACAATCATTCCAAATTTACTGCTCACTTTAACAACTTTAGCAATGACCCCATACTCATTAAGATATTCAACATTCTTGAGTCGCAGACGATCGCGTTTATACTCGGCGAACTCGCGGCTCAGCCGACTATTGCGTGCGCCCGCGTACAAGCACAGAATGATGTCTCCTGGATTGACTTTGTTTTTTGGACCTTTTAGTGTGCGCATGAGCCGCACAGAACCTAGGAATGTTTATGCATGCTACCTTTTCTGTTTGCATCGAATCACGCCAGCCGCGCCGCAACCGCGCGCCTCTCTTTCACTGCGGACACTTCCGTTTGTGCGAAAGGCTCATGGATGATCACGTTCTACCATAAAATGGTATCATTGATAAAACGACACTTAACAAACACTTAACAACATGGTCACAAAAAGTGTGGCTCCTACTGGTCTTTATCTGTTACAGGGGCGCTATTTCTGGCGCGTCGATGAACCCTGCACGATCGTTTGGGCCAAACATTGTGGCAATGATTTTCATGCATGATAAAATTGCGGCCAATTTCTGGACGAACCATTGGATCTACTACATTGGGCCGGTGTTTGGTGCAATGCTTGCTGCGGGATTGTACAGGTTCGTTTTTTTTCTCTGATGGTGAGCAAGAGGGCTAAAATTTTCGCCAAGGCTCTCTAGTTTTGACCCTAAAATCATAGTGGCTCATTTTTCAAAGTCCTCACGAATGGATTTGATAACGCCTTGAATCGATGCGAGTAGGGGCTAAATATACAAAATGATTCCAAGAAATCGAGTAAAATAGTTACAGTCGCGGAGTTGGAAGCTGGAGGTTATGTGGAACTGCTTCTACCTAACCCGTATCGCTAGGTACTGAAAAGAGCCCGAGGTGCATCACAAGGCGTTTGCTCCGAAAAACTACGCGCGGGCAGCTTGCTTACCATTTGTTGGGGCAGTTAGACCGCCTGTACGCCGTAAAGGCAGGGCGCATGAAAGTGCGGCGCTGTCCTACTTCAAATCTTGTCGCGCCTTTGGAAGAAACACCAGAAGATTGCACATTCCGGGCACGAATCCTAACGTAAGCTTTTATTTTGAGATAGTACACTGACTAAGGTAACTACCACAATTTCCCGAAGGGATGGTTATTCTTACGCCCCCCCCCCGGCCCTTCCCCTCCCCTTTTGCATCGTTTGAGTCTTTGTTTCCCCCACTTCTACCGCTTTGCCACCTCCTCAGAGAGCTGGTCACAACCTGGTGAGGGTGCCAGCAAGTCCAATGACGGTCACTGGTGAGGTGATTGGATGGCTCGGGAGTGGTCCCAATAAACACGCTGCTGATGGGCTTGATCCACAATCGACTCCACTACTCCACAAAACTGCCTTTACCCTCCAGCCATTCGTCGTTCACTGCTTTAATCGCTCCCTTGTTCAAACTTTACGCTCCTGAAGTTTCCTAATGCAGCAGGTTGACTGCAGGGGAGGGTCTTATCAAGGGCAATTTCTACACCCCTTTTGCTTTTTTTCTCTTGGTACTGCGTCGTTTAGCACACCCACAGTGTCTTATCTTGAGCCACACTAGGCCAGCCGTTACACAGCGCTCGCGGATTTCACGTAGCATGCAAAATCGCCTAAATTCGCAAAGCCTGAGCCTTGCCAAGCCACTTGGTAAGCATTCTGAGAGCCCTGGTGGTGTAATACTTTCTAGAAACGAACCCATATTTTTGCGCCTTGTCAACTGATACTCATCAACTGATTCCGTTCAGGGTTTTCTTCTCCAAAGGTGATCGAGTGATGTGAATGGACACAACCGAATCGACCTCTTCTCAATGATTAATCTTATTATGGTAATCCAAAAACTGGGAGTAAAATCTGTAGCCTTTGACAAATGCATTTCGATTGTATCGATACACAACTAAAAAAAACTCCCCAAAATCCTTCGTCTAGCACATATTGTACAGATCCTATAATTCAGAGCTAATCTTGCTTATCTTTTTGATGGTGTTCTTCCCATTCGGTTAACTGGACCCGTTGTCTGTGTGTGTGTCTCACTTGTATATTATCCCTCATAATTAACAACGTGTTCACTTTATTGATAGCTAATAAAGACATTCCTCTATCAGTTCCAGTGTAGAAGGTTAAAGGCAAAAGTCGGGATTGAATTAGGGTGTTCTGGCGCTCGAAAGTGAGTTTATGGATGTGAAAGGGAGCGACCATGAAGAAAAAACGGAAAGAAAGTGTCCACGAGGCCCGATATAAACCCCCTGTCAAACAGCGCCGAAGGAGGCGGCCTTAGGTGGCTAACTGTGTCCGGACGAGTTGTCCGGACATTGCTGGCATCAAGCCACCAGTTGATAGGAAAATCCTCCACCTCTTGCTCTTTGAGATCAAATTTTGAGGACAAGAATCAGGATCGAATTGATGTGGTGATCCACTCGTCTATAAAAGTAGGGATGCGAAGTGGACCGCAAGTGGAAAAAAAGGAAAAAATCGTGAAAAACACAGGAAATACGAGCCTTTGCTCTACGCTGCGGAGAAGTCCAAAAGGCAGACAGGAGATAAGAGATAATGTGAGTCGCGGAGAGGAAAAGAAGTCCGAGCCGAGAGAGCACAGCAGGTCAACAGTACGAGACAGATAAGATACGAGATGGTGAGCGGGCACGGATCCATCTGGATGTCGGAGGATACAGTTCTAAGCGCCTGAGCCCTTCCCATTGACGCGATCCTTCTTCTTCTCCCTAGCATAAGTCCCGCGCAGTCGCAGGGTCTGCTGCTTTTGTCAGTCG